GGGGGGGGGGGCAGGATGGAGACGGCCGTCAGTCAAACACCCAGATGATACGCGAGCCTAGAAGCTTCCAAGACACGGCGGACGTATCTCTTTGCGCCCAGCCTTACGCAGTGGATATTGGTTTCGCCGATGCAGGGCTTGTATGTTGTCCCTTTTGAGCCCTGTGTGTGCTGGCTGGGTTTCATGCCATGTGACGTTGTCTCGTTTTGTCTTTCTTTCGGGAGGATGTTGCACGTCGATCTCGTACCCGCTGTTCTCCCAGCATTAACTCTCGTTCTCTCCAAAGGTATTGACCGAAGAAGAAGAAGAAGAGGAGGAGGAGGAGGAGGAGGACCTGGTCGCGCCCGGATCCCCGTCGGATTGCAATATGTAGGGTAGTTAGGGTGGAGAACAGAGGTTGAGGCAGTCCTTCTTTTGTCGACGCACGTGTACCTGTTCAAAACGTGAGACTTTCCTTCCTTGGGCAATGGTGGCCCTGGCCTGTTCGGCAAAACAAATGTGCTTCCCGGGTTCCTTGTTGCGCGCAATTGTTGAGAGAAACAGATGCGTCCCCGTCGGCGACCCGAAGTGTAAGCATCAATGAGGGTAAAATCATTACTGCTCAGCTTGGCCAAGTATGGCATACGAGCCTATCTGGTCGTTAGCCTCGCGGCGGTACCTGCGCTATTATGTTATGATGCCGCATTGGCCGGGCCTTTCCAAGCATCCAGACATGGTATCGGATTGGTAGGGGAACCTGCTTCCTGTATCGTATTGGTCTTGGAAGGCGGGCCACGGGTAAGCGCATGGAAGGAATGGAAAGACGCACCTATACGCGAGCCATGTGTCATCTCCCTCATTGACATCACTTTGAATGAGAGAAAATCTCCTGCCGACGGGGCTGAGATGGGGAGTCATTGATGTGTCATCTGGCGACCGACCTTGGCATGGATTATAGTATACTGAGCTGTGGACCAAGCCACCAAGGGGAGTAGCCTTATATACGGCCCGTCGACCACGGTACCAGCCCTTACCGTAGCAGGGGCTGATTCAATACGGGAGTACCTTTACTCCTTTTCCAGCATCACCAATTTCCACTAAGGGAAGCTCGTCAAACCCCATTGACATTCGACTGGAGAGTCAGGGATCTTTCCTGCATTTAACTGGGCCGGTTCATGGAATGGTAGGGGCAATAGAGTTTCATATAGGCGTGGAGCATCATACTCTTGAGCGCGTACGGCTTAGCAAAGGTTGTTTGTGCCTGAAAAGGATATAGCTGTCATGCGTGCGGCAGCCTCACAATAATGCCATCTCGTGTAACCACTAATGCGTCAGAAACATTCTGCCTTGCCGGCGCAGTGGATGGCAGACACAAAGCAAGGCGGCATGCGACGCCCAATTAAGAGCAGCTGAGGTTAGATTTAAAAGGCAGCGCCATCTGACAGAACCAGGCACTTTCCACAGTGCGCGTTGCGACCTTTAGCCCTCTTTTGACAATCGGCTTGCCGTCTTTGCTCTCGTCAGTGCTGCGGGAGAGGTAGCTGGATGCGCCCAACGGTCGTGATGAAGTGTCGGAATGCCGCCGCGGAAAGTGTGTTTGTTCGTCAACTTCAGCCGTGATGCGGAGAAACTCTCGGGCGCATAGCAATGTAATCGCCATATAGTTGTCCCTGAGGATTGGTTTTTCTGTGGTTGGCAGTTGGTTCGCATGTGCTCAGACTGCTACAAAGTTGGCGCTCACCTCCGCGCGTAAGACATGCGTTGGCGAACGAAAATTCCACGGACTGATCTGGAAGGCAGTCGAGCATGTGGCCTGACTGGGCTTCTTGGGATCGGGACGGTTCGTCATCTGATATTGTGGCTTTCTGACGGGACCTGATCGAAGTTGTATACCAGGTCTTTGGACTACATTGTATAGAGAGGTGGTCAGACAGACAGTTTTGCGGTTAGCAGCGATCGAACGACGGTGCCGCTTGTGGGGAATATGGAAGGAATGCAGGCGCATGCCCGAAGTTGTCCCTTATAGGGGTACCTGGCCTTCCTCGACGACGTGGAATCAGAAGTGATCTCGAACGGAGTTAATAGATGACTTTCACTGGCCCTTGGAGTCGTGCAATATCCCCTTCGGACGACATTGGTGATTGAACATCAATCCTTCCCGCCAACATTTGCCAATGCTCAACACAACCTGCTGGCTTCTGGAATGAGAAGGCTGACTGATGATACAGTGAGACCAGCATCATCCGTTTGGGATGGTCCCATTCCTCAATATGGACATGGTTTCCAATGAGCGACAAACATCGTGTTCCAAGCGCGCGCTATGGCACAACGTCACAGAATCGAGCTTCAAAGCAAAACCCATGTTGTTGACAGGCGTGATTGAGGAATGCAGGTTCGCGGGACATCATCAACGAGCAGAACCTTCCAATTCAGGATATATGTGGCGTTCGTTTTGTCATGATTCCCGATTGGCCTTGGAATTTTGGAGACTGGAATCTGCATCTTGAAGCCTGAAGCCTGAAGCCTGAAGCCTGAAGCCCAGAGGGGGAGCTCGGCCCGAGCAGGTACGTATTGCAGCCAAACGGGCAGCTCAAGCACTGGTTGATCACGATCACCTTGGGTTGTGCCGTCAGGGCAAGAGAGGCCTTCCACAAGGGACTGGTTTATCGGTGCTGCGGCTGGCCACTAAACGGATTGTCCCTCCTAGCTACCAGTGTAGGGAGGTGTTTCGGTCCTTCGAATCCTGTCTGGAAAGTTTGAAGAGATACAATGCTAGTGTCGGGATGCGCGGAAGAGACTGAGGCCAGCCATGCTCGTGGCATGCAGTGTCATCCACCAACATAGGTCTGAATTCAAACCCGCATATCCTATCCTACCCGCCGCCTTTTCGAGGCCCTCACAGGCTGACCGAAGAAAGACCTGGATGGTGTACCAAGGGAATGAGGACCTATTACGATTTCGTGCAATCGGGGGGAAAGGGGGTGATACGCACACAAACGATACTGCATTCAAGGACACCAAATCATTACTGAACAGATATCTGCAGATGCCAGGTATAGACGCATTGTCTCAAAGCATCATCGACGATCTGAGGTGGCGTTGTGAAAGGAAACAACAAGTTTGTGCTGCTCTTTTGGTTTCACCATTTGGAGACTTTGCCCTTGTCGGTCAAAGATGGACGATCCACCATATCACCACTAGAGGACATAGAGCCTCCGGGAGAGCCGCATCAAAAGGCTACCGGCTTCACGGAGAAGAAAAGATTTCAAACTGAATCAAGTCAGCACAAAAGACGATGGTCGTCACAGCATCGCGGCCGCGCAAAAGAATACGCCCCCGGAACCATCGTTGGCGAAATGCTGACTGATTGTCGTACGAGATCTGGTAGCCTTATCGGCTAGTAGGTGGAAGAATAGAAGTCGTAGACACCCTGATGCGCCTTCGGAGTCCGGGCTGGCCTGCTCGGAATGATGTACATATTACGAGACGCCCAATACAGGCAAAGTTCATTATTAGCTAACTGCCAGCTGAGGAAGAGGGATGACCAAGGCAAAATTAGGATCTAGGATGCTCATGTGCGAAATTGGTCCTATTAATACAAGAATCCCAGATTGTGCATGACGAAGGAATGCGATCTATGACGAAGATCTCAAGGGGCCGAAGCAGCCGTTACCCGATGCATATCTTTGGACCAGCCTATTTTTATGCCGGAATGGCATCCAGGGAGTCAAGAAACAGCAAATGGATTTTGAGGTTGGGAGGCAACGGGCTGACGAAGACGTGATACAACCACCGACGATCAGTCAGAAGGAAGGAAGGCAGGATGGAAGGATGGCAACGAAACGAGGCTCTGGCAGGAGAAGCGGAAATCAAGTTTCGAAAATAGGTGACTAACTGTTGATTGCACTCGTACGAGACTCGAGTCAGCCAAGGCGAGCGAAAGGCTGAGTGCCAAAGATGGAGAATGGGAGAGATCGTCATATGATTATTATGATAGGGTGGCGGTGGCAATATCGATCGGATCAGAAGGAGGCCAAGTCATCAGAAATACCTGTACCGTACAATACGGAGCCTCTCGGTATTACGCCCTGAGTGTCCCAAATATCTTGGAAGGGGCGGTAATGGTAAGGCCTGGGAAGGGACTGGGATTCTCGTGCTCGGTACAGTGGATGGTACAGTGGATACAATGCCCTGACCGAACAGTCAGGGAACAGTCAGCAGGGGGTTTGATGCTTGAA